TTGATTAGTTAGTCGGATAGCAATAGCGAAGAAGTTTTGATCCTTACGGGCAATCCACGACTTGACATCGGCCATCGAGTCATCCAAATCGACGTAACTTCTATTCTCTAGCCATTTTTTCGATGAACGGTTGACGAGATAATCCATAAAAGTTTCTGCTGGTGAATATGGCAGATTTAGGGGCAGATCCCATTTCTTGGTTGGTTCTGGCTCATTGTTCAATCGCCGAAAAGTTACTGAGATCGCGGAATGACTGCGCCACCTTCCAATCTTTCTCGAAGTAGTTAGGCCTGATTTCGCGATTATGCGGATGGTTTTTCGAGTATATTCTTGTAGAGGAAATCCAGTAGATCATTTCTAGAAAAAACCCAACTCAATATTCAGATTCTATCGAGAGAAAAAAAAACCGCGAAAAAATCCGCAATAATTATGCATCAACCTAATATGTAGTTTGTGAAAATTATGATCTTGTGTCACACGATGTTTTCAGGTGGAACAATTTATTCAGTCAAATGGCCCAACGTTCGGACGCGATCGTCGTCTTCAGAGGCCGAGGTTCACCGCTCACGCGGAGAAAATCCGTTGTCGCGGAATTTCTCCGCTTTAGCGGTGGAACGTTAGCCTCTGAAGCGACGATTGCGTCGAAACGTTGACTGAATAAACTGCTCCAACTGTTGCCGAGGTCAAAGCAAAAGGGAAGTTGGAGATAAGGCTAGTGTTATGTACACAGCTCTTTTTGAGTAGGTAAATGGCAAAGTTAACAAGGTGCCATTAGAGTTTGTTTTAGCTTCACTGTCCTCATTTGCTGTTTGTTGTGGTCTCTAACTCTTTTTATCAGATGCCATTTCCGAATGCTTCATACTCATGCCGGAGTACGTTTTGAATTATCTTTTCGTGACGAACATATACATATATACTACATATTCTTACCTGAAGGTACTACACTACCCAATCGATTATCGACTTGTAATTCGTCTCTCGGAAAGCGTTTAGATTGTTTGTTTCACTCGTTTCCACAGCATTGTATACAACTGGAAATCTTTCAGAGTCAAAATAACGCACCATGAGCTTTCTCGCAACCGAGCTCATGGAAACCGCTATGAATGTCGAATGGAATCTGATGGGGAGTCCTCAATCGTGAGTCAACATTTCTGTTTACTGCTTTTTTTTATCAGCAACATGAAAAGAAAATACGTGCTTTGCCATAACTTTTGTTAAAGTACTACAATTAAGTTGAAAGTAAGTTTAGCTGAAAGCTCTACTCGTGAGGGATTGAAATTTGCTGTAAGCGTGCCAAAGCACATAACAAAAAATTTTTTTCCTTCAAATTGGAACAATGAAATAACATCTTTCATTGCTGATGAACTCGAAATAGCCCACTGGAGTGATCTGTTTAACGAAGAACAAACATTACGCCGCATCTAATTCTATGTTCCTGTATTTCCATCCAATTTCCTTTCCATGAAGTTGTTCTGTTAACCAAGTTCTCTAAAATGATGAGAACGAAAAGTTGGCCCTTTTTTGTCTGTTCGTTGTTTGATTGATGAAAGGTTCGAAGCAGCTGACTGTGATGGTATCGCCGCTTGCTTTTCCGATACTACAAATCACAAATTCGCAACTGTAAGAGGTGAATGATCGCTCGCTCAAGCGTTAGTGCTAAAAGTAACCGCTAGGAACTGTGACACGTCGTGCTCATACGATAGGAAGAATTTGAGGTTTGACAGCGCTGTACCTTAACTCTTCACTGTAAGTTGGGAATTGCGATTGGCCGGTCTGACCACAATGGACGCCCTCCATCTGAATGAAACTCACTCAAAGGATTGCTGCTGAACGAACACCCAACTCATTAGGTCAGGTGGCACTTGTGGTGCGCCGTGGTATTTCTACGAGGATCTCTATGGATAAGTCTCAAGCAAATTAAACTATTCAAAATATGTATGGAATTTGAGGTGTACGGTGTACGGTGTATATTTTAATTTGATCAAACAATCAAACTTTTAATTGCTCGAGAGGTTGCGGAGGCTTAAGCTTTGATAACACTGTCTGTATTGTGCCTGAGACCACTTGTAATTTTGTAGAGTAATTGGGTGGGTCGACTTTTGATAGCGATAGCATTGGCTGGGAGACTTCTTCAGACTCATTCTTTGGTAAGTAAGAGGGGTCGTAACTCATGATCGGAAGCCAAGTAAATGTAAGGTACTCGAAAAAATGCGGAAATAGTTGTATGCTTTTCGAACTTTTTCGAGAGAAGTCTCAAACGTGAAGCAGCTACCGAAGCCATTCAAAGAAGAATTGGCATCTATTTTCCGTCAAGCAGTGCATATTTTTAGGATGTTGTAGTTCAAAAAATTTTGATGTTGATTACCCTCAAGGATGCGCCACGTCTTCAATTCCTATCCCTGGTTGTGAAAGTCTTTCGGAGGTATATTCTGTCATCATAGGAAGGTATGAGTAGAGGGCATATATGTACTTCAAATAAGTGTTCCCCATCTCAGAAGTATGCTCTTCAGTATTCCATCTACTCTGAAACGATAGAATGCATATTCGACGTACCCAAGGTGAGATGCAGCTGCTCAATTTCTAACCATGCCATGAGACATGCCCGACTACCTCCTCAGATATAATCAGTACAACGTATATCTATCTACCTGTAAAGGAGTATGCCATGATTCAGCTGGCCATATACATCTGGGAAAATAACTTTGTGGGTCTGAAACAGTGAATTTGCAGATCACATTGTAGATCAGAAATCACGGCTCGCATCATTGATCCGGTTCGTTCTCAGCGTGAATCATTTCAGACATCTCCCACCCCTCTTTCACCTTTTTTTCTCTTTCCTTCCTTTGTTTGTTACTTTTCACTTTCTGGAACCAAAATAATTATCTTTTCCGAGACTTATAACTTACACATGAGACGTGTTTAAGCCAATTCGGATTCGAGTATTCAAACGAACAGTCATGTTGATCGTACATCCGTCTTTTGTACAAACACTAGCACCTGAGCCCTTCTTTTTCGCCTTCACAATGGGTACGAGTCTCGGAAGACTTCGGAACCATGCTCAGGAAAGGTGTTGCGTGCTGTGGTTGCCTTTGTTGGTACGAACCCACCCCTCCATCCTCAATGTCTCAGGTTATTCCAAACTATGTCAGTGGGTGAAGCGAGGGGGTACATACCCTAGCCGCTCAATTAGAAATATTTCAAAGGTTACATATCGTAATTCCTTGGCTCCTCTTTGGCTGTGCTGCCCTTTCCAACCTTAATGAGCAGGAATAACTTCGTAAGTCAAATAACATAATAGTCAAATAACATGTATGACTCCAACTGGAACTCGTGTTCTCTTAGAATTGTCAAGAAGTTTGAGCCTAAGTCCACTCGTCCAGCTGCAAGTTATCGCTTCCGTTTAGCGAACTGCTGAACAATCAGATTATATAATCACAATCGTACTTTTGAGCTACTATCTATCTCTCACTCTTGCAAATCTTCTGGCTGCAATTCAGTCTTCACCCTCAGAAACGAATGAATCTCTTATGGTCTCACAGAAGCCGAAATCCCCCACAGAACCATGCTAGTGCATAGCTAGGAAACTAGATGCTGGTGTAGGAGATCTGAGTTACTCAGCCGTCATCACTCCATATTTTCTAATTTTCCCCGATTTTCCAAGCATAAAAAGGTTGAATTTTTCGAACAGTGGCTTCATTAGTTGTGGGGCATCTTGGCATGATGTCTCGATGTAGGTATCCTTGTGGTACCTCTCCAACATGTTTTAATTTTTATCCGGCTAACGTTCCGGGGTCTTCTTCTGCAGACTCATTATTCTGAAGAAGGCGACAAGGCCGCAACATCAGCCAAATGAAGGTTCCAATATCTTGGAAGGGGCTCCACGAAAGCAGCTAATGCCTTTTGCGAAGTCTTGGTAAGACACACTGAAAAGCAGAGCTTTTTACATATTCATGTCATTGCTGGCCACCAGTGTATAGAGTTGGCATAGTAGGAAGGGATTCACTATTACACAAGCGTGGTGCGGGGTCTGAGATCGGCACTCTTCCAGGCCAGTCAAGCTCCACATCCATTCGGTGTCAGTCTACTACTATCGGGCTCGTCAGGGAGGATAAAGGCCCTGACTTGCACAGCGGGTATCATCGCAAGGCTTTGTATAGGCCACATGCACATTCAAAACCCCACTAAGATAATGAAAGTCGAGTATGAGTGCGTCCTATAAACTTTATTGGTTAACACTAGAAAACTCTCAGGTCACTGGCACTAGAAGCTTAGACGGCGTCAGCTTTCTTAGCTCTGTAGTCGTCGTTGTCTGATAATTGTCGGTCTGTCTTCATCCAGATGCCCAGCTGAAGTGTTGCTTTCATGCGAGCGTAAGGAGGAGGGGNGGTATACAAAAGGTTAATTCTGTCCTTCCAAGTAAGTCTCGTACAAACTCACCGAATGCGAAGGGGAAATTTACTTGATCGTTGTAGCTTGAACACTGGATCCTTTTCCACCACCATAAGTTTTCACTCGATGGTTCCATACAAGTCAGCAAAGAGTAGTGCACGACAAGATTAGGGTTTCAGTTTGTTTATCGTCACTGATTAGTTCTGATTGATTTTATTACTATTTATAGACGAACTGGGGCCACGTTGAGAATAAAGTCGGTAGTGTTCCACTGCACTCAATCAAACATCCCCCGTGATGGGCAGAGAAAAAGCCTCATTTTGCCCGGCGCTTTCCCTGGTGCCGCATTATTGACCTCCTTGATTTGCATTTCATTGTATTCAATATCTTCTCAACCAAAGTACTTTATTAATTTAGAGAAATTCAGACACGCAGTGTTCTCATTTTCGGGTTGTTGTAAACACAGGCGACAGACAAAATGTGATCGGCTCCATTTGTGTCCAAGTTGCCGTTACATCCATAAATTGTTCCTTCGGGAAGATGGTGGACCTAGAACAGACCATCGGTTGTTTCTCTTCTCTAATGAAGATCGTAATTAATGAGGACTCAAAAAGAAACTGTTTGTGAGGGTAGGCACCGTAGGGGATCCCTTCCGTATAGATTCACGCAAGAAAGGGGATATTACAAAAGAGATCGCTCGCTCTGCTTCAAGCAGTCATTCTGCATGAGCTAATGAAAGTGAAAAAAGGTAGAAGGGCCACATTCAGGAGGATTAGTCACTGAATATCTTATTTTTTTTTTTGAAAATGCCCTATCGACATATATCTGAAGAGAGTCAAGCTTGTCTGCAGCAAGGCGACGCCGTCTCACAAGAATTTTTAATCATATATCTGAATCTGTTCTTATCATGGATTGTTAGCCCTACGACTTAGCTCTTGGGAGTGTTTTCTGAACAACTAAATCTGAACTAAATCAACTGGAGTTTAATGAGTTCTGCTGAATGATGAGCGTTCTCAAGTAGTTCAACTCACTCGTTTCCCCATCCTGTCGAAGGGGTTCTTGAGAGCCTCACGTACTTTGTGTGCTAGATTTCTGTCATCCTTCTTTGAAAAATGTCTAAATGTTCGGAATGTTTCCGTGAAAAATGAAGGAGTTCATGCAATCCAGGGAATACCAACTTATCACCCCTGATCTTCAGATAAGCTGCCACGCTATGTGGCCTGTTGGCTTCGTCGAGTGCCTTGGTCGCGAGAGCATCATTCCATTCCTGAATGTCATTCTAAGAAATTTGAAACTCAACCAAAAGTTTTTATCTATCGAAATGGTCAAGCTCCTCTCTAGCATGCGTCTCGTATCCAACTTCCATAGTTCATTAAGTCTGACCCGGACGGTGGACTGTAGGCGGTAGCCAATGAGCAAGTCACTGCTCCTACTCATCAGAAAGGTCTAGTGCATGAATTTAGGAAAGCTTTGTTGACCTAGACGGATATGGGTACTATATCTGATTTCTAATCATGCATAATAAACGGTACTTCTTCACATTAACTTGCCCCCACTGTTTTGAAAATAGCGTAAATTACTATGAAGTGGTACCAAGGGAGTCCATGCCATTTAGCTGAATCTACTAGAAAGACTCACTAGATGTGTGTTGTGTTTCTTGTTGATCTCCTCGAAAGTAGCTTTCAAATCTGAAGGCAGTTCAGAACCTGAAAGAGGCGGATTTTGTGTGAGTCAAAGAAACAGAAGATGTACTATATATGCTTTAATATAAAAAACACTTACCTTGGGTTCCCAAAGTCGCCAAGCTTAGGCACAGCACTGGAATTACAAAGAACATCTTGGTTGTGACGAATCTGTTTGTGCTCATCCCAGTCGCTCTTATTTATATCCGATGATTTCTATAGGTCTTCCCTTTTTCACAAAAGGCAATCAGATAGTTCAAAGCCTTTGTTCTGAAATTCATTTGCCAAATAGTCTGCCTTCAGCTAAGCTCTTCTTTTGTTACTTTTTCTCTGAAAATCAATATTGCCTGCTCTTTTGTTATGAATATTGTTAGAGGATTGGAGCTTTACCTTTTTTGTTGCCATATCGCTCCTGAATTTCTCGCTCTTTTGGAAATTTGCTTGTGGGGACCGTTTGGGCTCTGCACACTTATGCGCGCGTCGCAAAAAGTACAGGGCGTCTCCAAATGATACAGCTCCCCATAATTTCCCCTACAGTACACGTTGTTTCTGAAAAAGTGCTGAAGTAAAAATGTGTCAAATCTGTATTGCAATTTGCACATTATCGCTAAATTCCAGCTCGGAAACAAACATTTTTCGATCAATTTTTCAGTAAGGGGTGCTATGCCAACGTCTCCAAATGATGTAGCCACTTCTTGTCTTCGTGTCGAGTTTTAGTTAAACGCAACGAAATTGCCAGGTTTGTGTAATGTTCTTCATCTTCAAGCAATGGTAGGGGAAAAGTTGCTTTCGGAATTCGAGAAAGGTCAAATCCTTGCGAAAAAGGAGCAGAGACTGTTGAATGCAGAATCGAGCGAAATTTGGGTTGATGTCACGCAGTTGTGGATAATTTCATCAAGAATCCTGAAGCCTGGGGTACCAGAAGAAGTGCTGGACGTCCTTCGCTGCTGTCCGGCAGAGACAAGCGCCGTATTTTGAGCTACAAGCTGCCCTTGATGCTATATCAAGTTGGGCTAAAAATTGGGGACTCATCATTCCCGTAGACAAAACAGTTGTCCTGCAATTAGGACCTGAAAAGGGGCTGGAAAGAATAATACAATTTCAGAAGTCACCTCAGATGTGGCGTGGCGCGAGTGGCCCCCTTCGCACACGCATGGTAACAGGTTCAAATCCCAGAACGATATCCTTCAAGCCACCTTATCTTCCGATCCCTCGATAATAGGTACCAGACTCGTCAAGGAGAATAAAAGGAAGCACTGACTTGCACAACGGCTCTCCACAGCATTTCACTGCATAGGCCACACACACATTCAATACGCCATTTCAATACGCCACTACGATTCTGAATGGAAGTCGAATGAAGGAACAGTAGTCACCCGCGGGACTAAGCAACGCTCAAATACTTTATCCATTATCCTTCAACTTCAAATGTAAAGACGGTTCATAATGATGGGTTCGAACATAATTCTTCGATGCATCGTAAGAGGGATATTTTGGTCGATAGGGCACCGCAGAGGCGGTTTTGTTGCAAGAAAAGGACCTTCATCTGCGCTCTCCTTACTTTATCTTTTTTTCTAAATCAGTGGATTTCGTTCTTCTGTATTGTACATCCCTGAGTTGATCTTCTCCAAACGCTACTAAATTGCTTCAAACAAACGATCTTCTCCTCTAGCTGGCTGCCGTCTAATGAAAGCTCATAAGTGATATTACTGATGCTACAGTCGTCATTATAGTTCTTCGCTTTATATTGGAGACTTCTTTGTTTTGAACATTTTTAGATATAAGATAAATGATAAAGGATGAAGTCTTCGGACATTGAACAGTCTCGCTTGAGGGGTACGTCCCCGCATTCGACTTTCTTTTAGAATCATTGTCACGAATTGAATGCTATGTGGCCTGAACAGTGACTTGAGGTGACCAGCCGGGGGGGGGGGGGGGGG